CAGAGTTCCGTTCCACTGTACTAATTTGTTCTACTGGTCGCTAGGAGTCGGAACTGACGAGGGCAGCTAACTGCAATTGGTTGCCAAACCGGAAGTCTAGTTTCAACAGGGTCCTGGTGCTGGTTCCAGTGCTCCTGGATACCAAAGACACCGCCTCGCTCTCCCCTTCGGTATTCTGCAACTAGATTTCTCATCTCTCAACCCTTAAGGAGCTCTGGTGGCTTAGTGCCTAAGGCATGTGACTGCTAGGCAGAAGGCTGGCGGTTCAAACCCACAAGCGACTCCTGGGAAGGAAGGTTGGGCAAGGTACTATCCCTAGAGATAACTGCCTGGGAAAACCAAGGAGGGGGTCACTATGAGTCGGATTCGACTCCATGGCAGTGCATTGCCTTGTGTTGTTGTCATCCCTTAGAATATTGAGCACAGACATAAGAGAGAGGCAGCGATTATACATCCCACTTTGTAGTTGAGGGAACAGGACCAAAGGCCAGCCCCGGCTCTTGCGGTACGTGAAGCTAGTTACATAGCCCAACTCCTGGCGCGACCCTAGCGCCCTCGCGCGGCCAGGATCTCCGTGAGAACTACATTTCCCAGCACAGCCCGCGAAAGCGCACATGCCCAGTGGGTCAGGAGCGCTACGCCGACAGATCAGCCGGCGCCCTGACCAGGAATCGGCGAGCCTCCGGGACGGGCACCGCGACCCTCGGTTTGAGAAGTGAGTGTTTCTGCAGGCAGGCCGGGTTCTGAGCCTGAGGTCAGGTATTTGAAGTCTTGAATCTGAGGACTGAGAAGTCATGACTCTTAGCTTTAGAACTGAGTTCACTCTTGAGGGTGTGGGGATCCGGGTCCGGGTTTGCGCTTAAGTCTGTGGTCGGGTCCTGAGTGTGGATTTGGAGATTTTTCGACTGGCCTCTGCTTTGTGGCTTCTCTCTAGTATTGAGTCTGAGGTCTTGAAATAAGGACTGGAATCTTGGGTATTAAGTTTGGGGTAATGGGATTGGAGTTTTGAGTCTGGGGTCTTGGGGACCTGCACCTGCCAGAGGTCTGTGTCTCCAGCCTGGGTTCCATGACTTGGGGGGCGGGGCGGTGAGGAGTCAGGGTCCACGAGTGCAGAGGTTCGTGCATGATGTATACACGTCCTGGGGAATACCCCGGGGTTTGGCGCCCACAACTGCCAATTCTTAGCCTGAGTTTCCTCACCTGTGAAACGAGCATCCTAACATACTTTGCGTGCAGGCTTTGTGGGATTAAATTAGGTGATGCGCGAGCCTGACACCAGCAGGGGCTGTTGAGGACTGTCGAGTCGGTTTTTGATGCCTAGCGTTGCTGTGTGACAGAATAGAACTGCCTCTTAGGGTTCCCTTGGTTGTGATCTTTACAGAAGCAGACCTCCAGGTCCCTCCCTTGCAGAGCCACGGGGTGGGCTTGAACCACCCATCTTTCAGTTCTCAACTGAGCGCTTAACCGTTAGGCTACCAGAGCTCCTTTGGCACCCAGGTGGTACCTGGGAAATTTCATCTTTGACTCTCTCTCTCTCTCAGCTGCGGGGAAAATGATAGCTTGAGCCTGGGGCCCAGGCATGGAATTTTTGACAGTCCCCCCAACCCCTCCGGGGCCTCCAGTTATGGACTTGGAGGAGCCCGGGAACACTCTTGGATCATCTCAGAACCTCACACCTGTCTGCCAGTGGGACCTGGTGCCCGGAGCCCCCAGCGGCCTCAATAGGATGGATTTTGATGGGCCAAGGATTCAGGACCTGGTGCAACAATTTGAGGCGCTGCCAGGTGATCTGGAGGATCTGTCTTCAGAGGGACCCCCCTGCCCGCTGCACATCGCCACGGGCCATGGCCTGCCCCCCCGGGACATCGCCGATGCCCATGGGCTCCTGTCTGCTGAGGCTGGACGGGATGACTTGCTTAGCCTCTTGAACTGTGACGAGTGCCTGCCTTCCCAGCCACGTCCCGAGGAGTCCCCAGAGCCTGCCCCTCGCCTGCTGCAGCCCCCGGAGGACCCCGATGAGGACACCAGCCTCCCGGAATGGGCAGAGGGAGCCTCTGCCGGGCAGGATGGAAGCAGGAGTTCAGGCAGCTCTCCGGAGCCCTGGGCGGAGACCGTGCCTCTAGTCAGGCCTGAGGAGCGACCTGCCAGTGCCCAGGTACTGCCTACCCCTCCCCTCTGCTGCTGGGAGTTAGATGGGGGACTCAGACCTGCCCTTCTTCTGTCTCCTTGCAGAGCCCTGAGACCTTGGCTTCCAACCCTGCCCTCCAGGAGGGTGAGTGCCCTGTCTACCCTGGCCCCTGGGGAGTTCAGGATTCCAGAACAGCCCAAAGCAGGCTCCCAAAATCCAGCACAAAATTTGTGAGCAAGGAGAAGGTTCTAGAGAGGATGTGAGGTTGGTTTTGAGTAGATTCCAGATGGCCTTGGAGAGGAGGGACCGTCTTGAGAATGTTCTAGAATGAGTCGAGGATGACTCATTGGCAGCAACTTGGGATTTTGTAGCAGTCAGTGTTCTAGACTAGGGGTTGGCAAATTATGGTCTGTGGGCCAAATCTGGTGCATTGCATGTTTTTATACGTTTTATGAGCTAAGAATGACTTTTGCATTTTTAAATGGTTTGGCAGGGGTGGGGATCAGAAGGATGTTTGGGACCTATGAAAATGATATGCAATTCAGACTTCAGTGTCCATAAATAAAGTTTTATTGGCACACGTCCATGCCCATTCACTTACATGTTGTCTGTGCCTGCTCTTGTATTACGGTGGCAGAGTTGAGTAGTTACAACCAAACGTCTGGCTCACAGAGCTGAAAATATATACCATCTGGCTCTTTACAGAAAAAGTTTGCCAACTCTTGCCCGAGGCATGGTGAGAACCAGTTCTAGCCTTCTAGAATGTTTCCCAAGTTGCCTAAGGCTCTAGGTCAAAGTGCAGATTCACGGGTTGTGGGGAAGGGGAGCTGGTTTGGACATGTAGCTCCAAGACGTCCTGGAATCATGTGTTAACACTATCTGTGACTCACCTAGGGAGTTCTGGAGGTTGGTATCTTGCCTGGAGTTCTAGATGAAAGGAAACTGGGTTGTGAGTGTTCTGGAGCTGTCTGGTTCTACTCAGAGTGGAAGGTTCTAGAACCCTGGAAAGAAGAGAATTATCTGGTTCAGACCGGTAGGGGGGTATTCTAGAGCTGCAGATGGAACAACCAAAACAAGTTTCTGTCCAGTCCCTTCTGATTCATGGAAACCCCGTGCGTGGCAGGGTGGAACCATGCCCAGTAGGTTTTCAGTGGCTGGGTTTTATTGGACATAGATTGCCGGGGCCTTCTTCCTGCATGCCTCTGGAGGGTTTGAACTGCCAACCTGTAGATTAGCAGCCTAGTGCTTACCCGTTTATGCCCCCTATGGGCTCCTAGAACTGTGGACAAAACCATCTGATCCTAGCAGGGTCAGAAAGTTCTGGAGCAGTACCACAGAGGTTACAATAGAAATCATGTGACCCAAATAAGTTTTTCTGATTTATTTTAATTAATCCCATATGTCTAAGGTAATCTTGTTTCAAGGTGTTGTCGATAGTTTAAAATATGGAGATGGTATACCTTATTTTTTCACACTAAATCTTCAAAATCCTATTTGTATTTTAGGTAACAGCACCTCTCAGTTTGGACCAACCCCATTTCACACGCGCAGTACCCATACATGGCTGATGGCCACCCTGTTGGACAGCACAATTCTAGAATCCCAGAGAGGAACTGTTGGTGGTTCTGGAATGACTAGATCGTGAAGGGCAGTGTGCGCAGCTGACTGACGATTTGAGTTCACTGAGGGTTGTCCAGTCTGGGGCCTGTACCTGTGGTTCTACACCAAAGAGTAATTACTCATTTAAACATTCTAGAGGCACTGGCAGAGCTACTCAGAGAATTGTAGAGCCACGGGGCATGATTCCTATGGTTCTCAGCTGGGTTGGAGGATTTTAGAACCATGATCAGAGCTGGTTGGTTATAGATTATTCTGGTAATTCTTAGACTGACAGGGTGTGGCTGAGGCCCTGGACCATTTGAGAGGATTGTAGAACTATAGGGATGGGCTGTCTGATACTAGCGTGATTAAGCAGTTCTAGAACAATCATGGAGTGGCAAAGTTGGGATTCTGGAGTGCTGGTGGCATAGTGCATAAGGTGTTTCACTGCTAACCAGAAGGTTGATGGTTCAAACCTGCCAGCCACTCTGCAGAAGTAAGACTAGGCAATTTACTCCTATAAAGATTTACTGCCTTGGAAACCCAGTGGGGGTCGCTATAAGTCAGAATCAACCCAATGGTGGTGAGTTTGGGTTTTGTTTTTTTGGGGGAATTTCTAGAACCCCTAACAGAGTTCTGTGATTTGAGACCTGTCAGGAAATTCTAGACTCATGGGAGGAGCTTTCGGGTTCTGGACAGTATGGAAGCTTTAGATATGAACTTAGTTGTTTGTTTCTGTTCTGATCAGCAGTTTGAAAACTCTGGAGTAGAGCTGCCCATGGCCCTTGGCGGACTGAGCAGAATTCTGGGACACTGAGCACAGTTGTCTGGTTCTAGCTTGATTGAGGAATTCCAGAATCATCAAGTGGGTTTGACTATGGTTCTAGAATGTTATGGCTTCTAGACTTAGAAGCAGAGCCATCTGGTTCTTCTAGCCTGGTCACAGAGTTCTAGAAACACACGGTGGAGCCCTAGATCTGTGGTCTGGATTCACAGAGACCTTCTAGAACTGGGCAGTATGTCTGGGAGTCCTTGAGCCATGGACAGAGCTGGCTCGAGCCTCACAGAGGGCTCTAGGCCTATGAGGACAGAGCTGCTCCTCTGTGGCTCCGGCTGATGAAGTGGTTCTGGGATGATGAGCATTACTGTGTGGCTCTAGAACTTTCTACGCTTCTAGACACCTCAAGACGCCAGTGGGGTGGACAGCCCTGACCAGGTGTTCCTGTGGGCTGACTCCATTTGCACTGTTGCCCCTAGTACCTGGTCCCTGTGACCACGAAGACCTCCTAGATGGTGTCATATTTGGGGCCAAGTACTTGGGGTCTACCCAGCTGCTGTCAGAGCGGAACCCGCCCCCCAGCACACGCATGGCCCAGGCCCAGGAGGCAATGGACCGCGTCAAGGTAAAGCCAGTTAGGCACATGGGGTTGCGAGGGACCTGCCAGCAGGTGGGACACAGATGGGTCCTGAGGCCCCAGAGCGTGGTGGGGTCTCCAGGAGCCTCCACCTCCCACACACCACCCACAGGCCCCCGCCGGGGAGACGCAGCCCATGACAGAGGTAGACCTCTTCGTCTCCACCAAGCGGATCAAGGTTCTGACAGCCGACTCCCAGGTAGCAGGCCAGGGGTTGGCATAGGGCGTGGAGGGCCCAGCCAAGGGCGAGACCCCATAGCCCACCCAGCCCGGTCTCTCCCAACCCAGGAGGCCATGATGGACCACGCCCTGCAGACCATCTCCTACATTGCCGACATTGGCAGTGTGCTGGTACTTATGGCCCGGCGGCGGCTGGCCCGGCGGCCAGCACCCCACGACCGCAACCACCGGCTCTACAAGATGATTTGCCATGTCTTCCACTCAGAGGACGTGAGCACCTGGGCATGCGTCCTGGGGTGGGCGCTGAGCTGCTCCTCCTCCAAACTCCCCACCCCCAGCTGCAACCATCACTCCTGTTTCCTTCCCATAACCCCCTAGAGTGGGTAGCTGTCTTTCTGGCCCTTCCCATAAGCCCCTGTGCCGTGTATTGAATTCACCCTTCCCATAAGCCTTTGGGACTGGCAGCCCCTCCCCTGGGCTTCCCCCAAGGCCTGGGGGTTCTCTCCTGCCTCCCGTCAAGCCCCAGCTATACGGCTGCCTTTCTGTCAGTTTCTCCCAGTCTTTCTCCCTTCCCCATATACCCCAGGGCTGCCTCTCCTCCTTGCCCTCTTCACTGGGAATCTCGTCTTGGAGGTGTCACAGGATGTGGGGGCCTGATGGAGGGCTGCTATTCTCCCCCGCAGGCCCAACTCATTGCACAGGCCATCGGCCAGGCCTTCGCCGTGGCCTACAGCCAGTTTCTACAGGAGAGCGGCCTCGATCCCAGCCAGGTGGCCACCCGACAGAGCCAGGGGCCCACAGGGCCTGGCCACCTGCACAACGGGGACCTTGACCATTTCTCCAACAGTGAGAACTGCCGGGAGGTGAGTGGGACCAGGTGGCTGCCCCCTACACACACATACACACAGACGTGTGTGCACCCCGTGAAGCCACCATCATACCCGCCCCATGTTCCCCTACCAGGTATGCATCAAGAAGCACCCTGGCGAGGGCCTGGGTGTGGCCCTGGTGGAGTCAGGTTGGGGCTCCCTCCTGCCCACAGCCGTCATTGCCAACCTGCAGCACGGGGGCCCTGCTGAGCGCTCAGGGGCCCTCAGCATTGGGGACCGCCTCACCGCCATCAATGGGGCCAGCCTGGTGGGGCTGCCCCTGACCGCCTGCCAGGCTGCCATCCGTGTGAGTCCTCCCTGGACAGCAGACCCACAGGAGACTCCCAGACTGAGAGAAGGTCCTCCCCTGAGCAGGTCCTTGTGGGCCTGTCCAGTTCTTTTCCCATAAGCCCTTGGGCGCTATGTACTCACTCTGCCCATAAGGCCCTGGGCCATATATTTCTAACCCTTTCCATTGTGCACTTAGGGAAACTGAGGCCTGGGAAGGGAAAGTAACTTGTCCAAGGTTATCTTGCTCACAACACAGCCGGGATCAGGATGCCAGCAGCCAAGCTCGAGGGCCAGGCAGCTTTTCCTGTCTGCTCAGAGACAGCTGATGGTTTGCTTTTGAGCCTTAATAAGACGCAGATGGGGAAATGGAGGCCCAGAGACAGGGAGGGCCCTGCGGGTGGAGAGGTGGGGCAGACGCCCTGTGCAGCGTCGGGTGGAGTTGGCACTCCCGAGCAGGGCGCTGCTGGAAAGCTGCCTTTATTCTTCAGAGACAGGCCTGAGGCTAAAGGGCACCAGGGCCACATGCTCCAGTCTGCCCCCATCGCTTCTCAGGGGGTTGTCTAGACTCTAAACCCTTAACTTCAACCCTCTCCTTGGCGGGTGGGTAAATGAAGGCACCGGAGAGGACTGAGGCCAAGCCCCCAGGCATCTGGGCCGGATGGGGCGGCTGTGCCTGACCCGGCCTGTCTTGCAGGAGGTGAAGCCACAGGCATCCGTGACCCTCAGCATCGTCCACTGTCCCCCCGTCACTACTGCCATCATCCGCCGGCCCCACGCCCGCGAGCAGCTGGGCTTCTGCGTGGAGAACGGCATTGTGAGGCTGGATCCAGGGTGCCCAGTAGGGGCAGGGGCGGGGTGACCTCAAATGCAGCTCCCTGAGCAGCGCCCCCCTCCCTCCCAGATCTGCAGCCTCATCCGTGGCGGCATCGCCGAGCGTGGGGGCGTTCGTGTGGGACACCGCATCATTGAGATCAACGGGCAGAGTGTGGTGGCCACGCCACATGCCCGCATCATAGAGCTGCTCACCGAGGCCCACAATGAGGTACATGGGGGCCGGGGTGCACTCCTGTATGCCCCCGGCTGGCCCTGAGCCACCCCCCTTCCCTCCTCATGTAGGTCCACATCAAGACGATGCCGGCCGCCACCTACCGCCTGCTCACTGGCCAGGAGCAGCCTGTGTACCTGTGACCTCCGCCACAATCCTCACCTCACCGCTGTGCCTTAGCCCTGCCAGCCCCAAGTGCCACCTCACGGTCCCTCACGGCCAGTCAGGGCCCCACAGAATTCTTGGCCCACAGCCATTTTCTATGTAAAAATTAAAAGTTTGCCCACTGGACAAAGTCTTGGATTGGGGTCAGTGTGGCTGATCAGGAAAGAGACAGGGCTGGACCCTCTCATCCCCTTGTCCTTCCTGGAAGCCACTAGAAACCAATGCTGTGAAAATACTCTGTTTATTAAGACCAGGTTGAGAGAGGTGGGTTCCGGGTTCTGTATGGGAAACTGGGTCCTGCTCCAGGGAGGTAGGAGGACAGGTGAGCTGCAGTTTGTAGGGCTCACAGGTCAGTGGCCGGGCCCCAGTCATAACCGTCTTCATCAGAGGACTCCATGTCTCGGGCTCGTGTAAACTTTTTCTTTAGGGCCTCCTGCTCGTATATTCTGGAAATTGGGAAATAGAGTAGAGGCTGTAGTGGGGAGGGCGTGGGACTTGAGTACCATTAACTGAAGCAGACTCTATGATAGGCACATTGGGTGTTGGCAGAGATGGGGGAGACCGGGCATCCAGGGGCGGGGCCTTGTTGGTGAACTTCTATGCACCCTTCCGAACCCCAGCTCCAGTGCCCCTTCAGAAAGCTTTCCCAGTCCTCCCAGGAGGAGGATTCCTGCTCACCCGACCCTGACCACAGAGGCCCTGCAGTGGCTCTCCCTGGCTCCGTTTCACCCACTAGGCTAGAAGCACCATAAAGGTGAAACACGGATCTAGGTCTCTTGTCCACCCTTCAGAGTCTGTGGAAGAGAGTTGAGGGTCTCAGTCTGGAGTAGTGGGCTCTCACCTCATGCTGTCCTGTCGACGCCGACTCTGGGGATGCCGGCTGTCCACCTTGGGAGACGAGGGGTCAGGAGGTTAACATTCCCCACAAAGTACAATAGATTTAGATGAACAACAACCTGATTGCCCCCACACACCTGTGCCCAGGTAGGGCTACTCAGACTTCCTGCCTCCCCCCTCCCCCACTGAGTACAGCTAATCCCTACTTTCAAATGAGGTGACTGAGGTTGGGACAGGAGAGGGGTTTGGCTCTGGTCTTGGCCTGTCACCAAAGTGGGGGATAGGGCATCTTATCCATAAAACTCCTCACAGGGCTGTTGCCATGAATTCATAACTGAGCGCAGGTAGAAAGTGCTTAGAACGGTGCTTGCTCTGTAAGGAGGCCGCCATGGACTGTTGAGCAGGTTGGATACTGCACAATGCCAGGGATGCCCTTCTCATCAGAAATGCACAGATTTGTACATTGACTACATTTTCCTAGAGCAAGCGGAGAAATATCTGGAGGAAGGGGCACTTCCTAATGTACAGGCACTCTGGGGGCTGGGGCAGCCCTGCATATCTGCTGTCGTTGGGTTGGCCACCCCCAACTCGTGGTGACCCCATGCACAATGACATCGGACCCCTGTGCTCCACAAAGTTTTCATTGGCTGGTTTCTGGAAGCAGATTGCCAGGCCTTTCTCCAAGGCACCTCTGGGTGGACTCAAACCTTCAATTTTTTGGTTAGTGGCCAAGGCTGTTAACCATTTGCAGCTTTTGACTCCACCCACACACGTTGGTGTGTTGTTATGTGCTGTCGAGTCGGACCCGATCATAGTGACCCCTCCTTGGGTTTCTGAGGCAGTGTCACTACGGAAGTAGATTGCTTAACCTTCCTTCCGAGGAGTGGCTGATGGGTTTGAACTGCCAGCCTTCTGGTTAGCAGTCAGATGCCTTAGGCACTATGCCACCAGAGTTCAACTCAGTGACCCATGTGACAGCAGAATTGCCCCATAGGGTTTTCAAGGCAGTGACCTTTCGGAAGCAGACCACCAGGCCTCTCTTCCAAGGCCTTGAGTGGACTCAAATCACCAACCTTTCAGTTAGCAGCTGACTACAAACACAGTCGCATCACCCATAGCCTCCACCCGCATATACTAAGTGCATGCCATGATGTCAAGACTGTTGAAACACTCCCACGAGGCTGTGCTCAGTGACTGTCACAAGTGCCCAGATCGGAGGCCCATGCTCATCACCTGGCTCCTGACCTCCCGCAGAACAGACTCCCTGTGCCTGTCCTCTGCCCTGCATGGTGTCCCGCCCCAAGACCCTTGCCGGGACTAACCCCCCCAGCCAGTCACCTGGACCCCCCGGTGGGCTGAGGATCTTTCATGGTCCGGCAGGCTCTGGGGCTCGTCCGCCAACACAGGCTCTGAGGACCGGGCCAGCGCTGGTGCCGGAGGCTCCTCCTCCACGTCTGTGTGGGCCCCGCCCTCGCCATCCGTGTAGCCCTCGCCGTCCGTGTAGCCCTCGCCATCTGTCTCCTCGTAGTCACTGTTGGCCCGGCTGTCACAGCTGAGGTCTGCCGAGCTGTCAGCCAGGCCACGGAGCGGGAGGTCCAAATTGTCCTCTGAGGAGCTGTCCAGCTGTGGAGAGGGAGGGGTGCCAAGGATGCTGGGGCGGCCATGGCTGGCTGAGTCAAGACCCCCACCCACAGACTAAGGCCCATCCCTGGTCCCAGACCCAACCCTTGCTCCATGACATCAGACTTCAAACTCTATCCCAAACCAGGCAAAGATCCCTAACCTGCAACCCTAAAATGAGGCTTGACATTGACCCCAGTTTGAGTCTGACCACTGACCCCTGGCTCAAGACTAGATCCCCTAAACTTTAGCTGCGCCCCCTGACCCCTGACCCAAGGCCAAATCCAGCCAAGACTAACTCCACAGTTCAAGCCCCCAACCTTGACTGTGGACACCAGCACTGAAACAGAGTAGAGACAAGTAGGGAGGAATAAGAGAGGGAGAGAGAAAGTATGAGGTCAGAATAGCCCCAGTCCCTCGTAGCCACAGGCCAACATGTGGCAGAAGGGGTTAGTGACAGCCTAGTCTAAGTCTCTGAGTCCAAGCAGACTCCTGCCCTTTAACTCCTCGTTGACCCTTGACCCCAGGCTGAGCCCCCAACATGAGCTAAGCCCCAACCCTTGACCCCAGCCCCCAAAGTAGACCCAAAACTGAGTTCCCACAATGCTGCCTCACCCCATGTATTAGGCTTAGACTGTAAGCCCAGGCTGAACCTTGACCCTGGCCACACCTCTGACCCTGACTGAGCCCTGGCTCCACATGGAGCCCCAAGCCCTGGCTGCCCCAGCCTGGGCCCTGGGCCCCCTGCGCCCCGCACCTGATCCTCAGCCGTCCAGATGGGCTGCATTTGCTGCTCGTGGATGACGGCCTTGAGCTCCTGATACCAGGCCTCACTTGTACCACGCAGAGGGATGGTGGCTATGAGGAGAGCACATCAGCACAGCCAGGACCCCACCCCTGCCTGCCCCAGGACCCCCAGCTCCCCGCCTCACCTGTGAAAAGGTGGCCACTGTACTTGCCCAGCTTCCGGGCCTGTGCGTAGAGGCGGCGGGAGCTGTGGCGGGAGGCAGGGGCCAGCCACTGCCGCAATGCCTTGAGGGTGGGCTGGCTCTCGGGGGCACAGAAGGCCACGATGGGGTAGTACTGCACGTAGTTGAGGCGCTCGATTGCCGAGGGCGTCACGTCCAGGAGCGCATGCTTGTCCTGGGCCGGCCCAGGTTGGAGACAGAGAGGGG